TCTCAAGGATGATATAAGACAACTATCTTCATTCTTGTCTTCATTTTATTTCTCTACTAGGACCACCGACTGGATTGTAAGTTAATACACGTATAAACATGTACAAACTTTTTTCTCATACAAGTGTTGTAGATTTTGCTAGATAAGAAATTTGATTTCCTGTAAAAATTATTTGAGTAACATATTGACCTAGTTTGATCTTCATCATTGGTTAATTAAGAAATGGATCAACCTATAGGTTGAAGATCACAATGTTCCTGAAATGGGAAAGGGGGATCAGAGTAGGATCCATTAAGAATGGCAAAGGTAGTAAGCTTGTTTGCAGCTTCTGTGGCATGGATCCCATCCCAACTCACATAGTTGTAGGGGTCATCGCATGCAGTTGCTGTCACTGTGCTGCCATTTATTTCTTTGGTATTTCCACAGTAAGCTTTAGGATCGAAGTTGTAGTCACCCCCTCCATATCCGCAACATGCTTTGGTACCATACTTAAGCCCTTTCCAAGAAAAAATGAAGTCAGAAACATAATTAAGACATTATGGATGTATATTTAGCATATGTTAATACGAGTAATTCATAATAGTCAAAGGGTGTCATAGAAATATCATTCAATGTTTTAAATTTCTAAATGAGATATCAAATTATTAAGGGTATAAATGAAGTCCTCCCTGTCCCCATTCTTATATTTCAATTGTGACTTTCTCATAAATGGGAATGAGCTTTACACACTCTTTAGTAGTAGCTGAATTGAAATATTTATGTACTGAATTAGATAAAAATAATCTTTAATTTGAGAAACCAAATTGAGGATATTGTATCTTTTAGGTATCATAAATTCATAATAGTGTGTTCTTATTATTAAAAAAGTAGAGGGATTAGTGCTTGAACCATGAGAAGTGGGATGCCGGAAGAGCTCTAACAGAACAGTGTAAGTATCCACATAAATGACAGAAGCATCAGAAAGGCTTTCTCTGGTTTGTCTCAAAGTCTCTTTCAACATGTTGTTGTATTCCACTACCGCATTGTTGTAAGAAACCAAGCATCCAAATTCATCAATGTCTGAACTGTTATGAGGAAGCTCCACCAAGAATGAAGGATAGCATCCCACCGGTGCAAGATTAAGAACCAGAAATGTACGTCCTCCAAGATTATATAGCTCCTAAACATTTCATTGTGCACAATACAAATTAATAACATTTTATTTATTTCAATAATTTAATTCTAGATTCGAGTTGATATTGACTGTTAAGGTAATCTCACCTTAATGGTAGCAGCAATTTGGGAAACAACTTGAGGGAGGTACTGTTGCACTCCACCTATGCCAATGGCTGCTAAGTTGGAAGTAAAATCATTTTGTCCAATGTAGAATGTGTAGAGAGATTTTCCAAATATATTCGGTGAAGGAAGTGTGGTTCCTGAGGAACAATCAAAAGAAACTAGTGCATTACTATAGAAATGAATTCTCCTTTTTTTTTAAAGAATAGAGTGGGAACTAGGAAGTTTGTGCATTTTTTACCTTGTTGGTGCTCTTCATTAACCTTGGTTTTGAATTGCTTCATTTGGTTGAGCTGTATAGCAAGTGAGAAAGGGCTGATCCCAGTGACAAACAGAGAAGTTTTAGGTAGAAGCACAGTGGACGCTAATGTAGCATAATTAGCTCCATGGTTATAATTAGATCCGATTGATTGCAGATATGGGCTCAAAAATGGCAACCCAAGAGCTTGAGCTGCCCAAAGAAATGCAACAAAAAAGCACAGAATTGAGCTCAAGCATTAAAGCATGTCTTTAATGAAGGCAATATATTAGAAGACAAAAAAAAA